AGTTCACCATAAGGCATCACCTTTGTCATTTAAACTATTTCTAGAAATGAAAATTAAAAACAACCAACTTAAAAAAAAAGACGATGAAGAATGTCTACAAATGAGAGGCCAATCATCACTATTTAATGATTTAACGCACATTGTCATTTTCTAAATTAACTAAAATCAAACTATTTCTACAAAACCCAACAAATGTTGTTTCTTTTCATCCCACAAAAGACAAAAAAAGATGAAAATCAAGCATTAAGAAAAATCATAAGAATATATTATAATTACATGTATAACATATTTAATATTTTAATTATAATAATTATATTATTAGTTATAGATATCATAGTATGTAGATGTAATATAATTAATATTATCAGTCATACTAATAATTATATATTTATACTAATATAAATTATTGATTAGTTATACTAATACGTTTATACTAAATGACTAATTACACTTTTTATTAATGATATATTTATTCTATTATATACTTTTTATTAATGATATACCTTTTACTAATTATATATTTATACTAAATTATTAAATATATTTTTTACTAATTATATATATATTTTATTCATTATAAACTTTTTTCCCTTAGGCGCGCAGGGCGGATTAGGTGCGGGGGCAATGGATGTTTAGGCAATAGGGAAGAATTTGGTTTCTCTCCAATGAATTCTCTCTCAATTTCCTACAATGTACATTTGGATGAATGACACGTGTCTTTATTTACTAAGAAGTAACAAGATCATTTTAAATTGAGATAATTTCAGAAACCTTCCCTGAGGTTTCTGACAATTTCACTGAGCTCCCTTGAGATTTTCAATATTACACTTACCTCCCTTGATGATAGACAATGTTATAATAACGTTCATAATTTTTCAAAAGATAAACCATTGATAAAAAAGAGAAAAGATAACAGTAAAAAGGAAAATGAAGAAAGGAAAACAATTATTCTTAACTAGGCCATATATTGTGGCCAAATTATTTTAGCCTTGACCATTAAATAATAACCTTTTTTTACTCAAGTATGATAATCAAGAAAGATGCCTCCTTCCTTCCATCACTCAAATATGTCACTGCAGTTGATGATGATGGAAGCAATCATCACCATCAACAACCCAATTGTTCATATCATTGAATATAAAAAATCTATTGGATTACGGGAAAGTATAATTTGATAGACTGTATTAAAACTACTACTCCAACCTTACACTTTGTTGATATTTTGCCTGGATCATCTTAATGGACATCAAACTTGCTCTCAATAAAACTGTGTCAATTCAGAGAAAAAAATATGGGTTGATTTAGGATGACCAACCCAAATGTTGACAGCAGAGGTTAGAAGAATTTTGGAAATTGAGAACTTGGATGTTTGAGTGGAAAAAAGGTAAGGATTGTGAGTTGTATAACCAAGGGTTTGGTGAGCAATATATGGAAGAAACCTATAGAGAGATAAAGATTGTAAATTAAGAATTGCAATGGTGAATTTTGACATCTAAGACAAAGAGTTTGATTTGAAGAAGAAGTGAAAAAAGTTTGAAAATTTGGGTGGATATAGAAAATTATGGGGATGGAAAATATCAAGACATTAGCTAAGCAATAAAACTCATAATTTTGGTATTATACAAGTGTATTCTTAACTTTTTACAACTGTTAGATGAGGGCAATTTTGGACTTTCATAAACTTTTTTGGTCTTACATTATCAAGGTGAAACCCAAATCTATGTTCTAGGGAAAGTATATGTAATTTTCAAAACGTGAGGGAAGCTGTCTGAAATTAGTAGAAACCTTAAGGGAGGTTTCTAAAATTATCTCTTTTAAATTTTACTAATTTTAATCCTTGTTAATAATTAAAGATACATGTCATATATATATATATATGTGTGTGTGTGTGTGTATTGTAGGAAATGAAGAAAGAATATAGGAGAGGAGAAGTCCTTGTCCTTTATAGTGATCAAATTTCCAGGAGGGAGCTTTACCTTTTACTTCTAGAAGGTTTCTAGCTTGCACTCGTGGCTTGAATTTGCAACCGGCTTTGACCCAGTCCAAGATAGATTTTTTGCTGCCTCTCCTCTCGAAAATGGGGCTCACAAGTTCCATTTTGCACAAGTTAGTATATATTAATAATTTACTCTCAATTTATCTCAAATTACCCTCAATTTATACTAAATGATAATAATCAACTCATACTAAAGTGTATCTGATTTACACCAAATATTAATAAATCAACATACACTAAACTGCACGTGATTTACATCAAATTGGATCTGATTCACACTGAAAATCACCAAATATTGATAAATTAACATACACTAAACTGCACTTGATTTACATTAAATTGGATTTGATTCACACTGAAATCCTATTTATTTACACCAAAGGTCAACTTGTACAAAATTATACGAAACACAAATTGTGAGGCCCCGGATCCCTCTCTATCCACCTTGACCAAGCACTATTGGTCTTCACATTAACCTTCCACTGTAGCCAATTTTTCCTTTGCCTCTTTATCAATTTCAGAAATGGGGTTTCACAAGTTCCATTTCGTACAAGTTGATGTAGTATTAACAATTTATTTTCAATCTATACCAAATTGCAACTTATACTAAATGACAATAATCAACTTATACCAAAGTGTATCTGATTTACACCAAATAATAAGGTAACATATACTAAACTGCACTTGATTTACATCAAATTGGATTTGATTTGCACCAAATCCTACTAATTTATACTAGAGGTCTACTTATATGAAATTGTATGAAACACAAATGGTGAGGCCTCGGATCCATCAATTTCCTGTGAAATTCGGATCACCAGGTAATATGTCTATGGCCAATAGTCTTACAGCGCGTCGTTATCAAAGCTTGCGCTCTCCATCTATTTAAGCAGCTCCAACTTCCAAATTTCCTTATACAACGACTCTTTATCTAAAACAGTAACAATTTTAGCTACTCTCTTTTCCTTTCTTTCCTTGCGTTTCGGGTGCAACAACCAAGGACCATGTTGTTTGCTTGTGCTATCATTGCTCTTATTGTTATGCTATTCAGCCACTGGGTGTATAGGTGGAGAAACCCCAAGTGTAACGGGGTATTACCACCAGGTTCGATGGGACTACCAATTATAGGAGAAACAATTGAGTACTTGACCCCTTATGCAACAGATGATCTCCCACCATTCCTACAAAAAAGAATCTCAAGGTATACGTAACCCTTTTTTTTTTACCTCCTATCCCTCTGTACACCATTCTCATTCCAATCTATCAGATACAGTATTCAAATCTTGAATTAGATAATGAAAAAAATTCTAATAGCCCTCTTCTAACTGTTGGACCAACCTCAATACTCCTGGTTATCTAACCACTTCTAGACTAGCTATCACATATATATTTTAACAATATTACAGCAGTAGTAGTAATAGATTAAGAGACGGGTTTATTTGAATAGAGTATTATTTAGAATAATTACTGTAGTATTTTTTGTGATGTGATGTATGTGAGATAAAAAGGTGATTGGAAATATAAAAAGATGAGCTGAAAAATGTGTTTATGATGCAAGCGAAATATTATTTGGAATAAGTTTACTATCCAAACAAACCCTGAAATTTGCCTTTGTAACATATCATCATGTCATTTGTAACATAACATCATCAGGAGTAAGATATACTATATTACCCTTTTTGTCAACTCCTCTAATATTCTTTTGCATTTTATTTGTGCTTTTGTCTTGTCTTTTCTTTGTTTCTTTGTGAATTTTCAGGTACGGGCCAATTTTTCGCACGAATATACTTGGGCAGTCGGTCGTTATATCAACTGATGCTGAAGTCAACTACCGTGTCTTCCAGCAAGAAAATAATTGTTTCGAGCTCTGCTATAGTGAGAGTTTCACCCGGATAACTGGGAAACAAGGTTTAGCTGGCTATCATGGAGACTTCCACAAGTACCTCAGGAGCTTAATGTTGAAGCTTGTTAGCCCTGAAGCCTTAAGAGAGAAGATGATAAACGACATGGTTGACAACACTCGAGAGCATCTAAGTTCTTGGAGTAAACTTGGAAAAGTAGATGCTAAAGATGGAACTGATGAGGTAAATTAATTAGCATCCTACTATTTGATTATATTAATCAGGATGAATTTGGACTATACGTACAGAGCATTGCATGAAAAGTAGTAATTAACAATCTCATTTTCTACAGTTGTTATTTAAACTTGCTGCCGAGAAGATGCTTGGCTATGAAGAAAGCAAGGCTCGGAAAAAATTGAGAGAATGTTATTCGACACTCATGGATGGCTTGATCTCAATTCCTCTCAACTTCCCTGGAACAGCATTCTATGCTTGCTTACAAGTAATCAATTGTAGTGGTTGTTCGTCATTTGGAATTCTTTTTATATTGAAAGATCGAAGTCCATTATTCCTAAAAAAAAAAAAGATTTTCATTATAAATATATGTAAAATATAAATGCTTTCATATATGCTGTATCAGATTGAACGAACTATATGATTTTCATTTTCCAGGGACGTAAGAAAGCAATGAAGGTCATCAAGGACATCTTTGAGATGAGGCGCTCAGGCAATCACACTAAGAGAGTCCTTGTGGATCATTTACTTGAGGAAATAGAGAAAGAAGACACCTTTTTGAATGAAGAAATTGCGATGGACTTACTATTCTTGTTTCTGTTTGCTGCCCATGAAACAACTGCAACAGTTATGACTTTGACCCTGAGGTTTCTAAATGACCATCCAAATGTTATGGCTGAACTAAAGGTCCATGACTTTCCAAAACAATTACTCCCGTTGTTATCCGTATCTACCCTCTAATTCTCCAATTCTTGTCCAAGTTCAATACTTAAAGGATTAATATTCTCTATACATTGACAGTGTACATTATCATCATTGGATGTTTATGTTAACAGAGTGTATAAGATTACTTCACACTTAAATAGCTAATCATTTTTGCAGAGAGAGCATGAAAAAATTCTTAAAATGCGAGAAACTAAAAATTCTCGTGTTTCATGGAAAGAGTACAAGTCTATGACTTTCACGCACATGGTACGTTTCAATTAACCAGACATTTCATTGTATCTAGCATTTGAATCATATAGTGAGCTACACCATTTACATATTAAGTTTTGTTGTCTGCTGTAGGTTATAAATGAAGTAGTTAGGGTTATAAATGTTGCCCCTGGGATTTTTCGCAAAGTTCTCAAGGATGTTGAAATAAAAGGTATACTTCAATCTGTCATTTGGCATCTTCTTGAAAATCATTTATCACACTTTCTTTATTTTGAACCCCTGATGCCTTTCTCCTACAGAAAAAAAGAAAATAAAAACTCTCTTTAGTAACTTGGGTTGGGCATCTTTTTCATGGGAGTAAAACTATAGAAATAAACAATTTGTTTCCTTTGTTCTTCCTTTCCTCCATTATAACTTATAGTTTTGACTAATAAGTACGAATGATTTGTAGGGTATACAATTCCTGCTGGTTGGAAGATAATGGTTTGTCCAGCATTAATTCATTTGGATCCTAATCGATACGACAACCCCTATGAATTTAACCCATGGCGATGGGAGGTAATTTAATTATTGACAGATTCAAGTAATTTACACACAAGAAATATAAAATTGCAGAACAAAAGTTATACAAAATCAAGCAAAAATAATTTAGGTTTTCCCTGCTGTTATTTCAATCAAAAGGGCAAAGACTTGCATACGGGATCAAAAAATTTCATGGCATTTGGTGGAGGTGTGAGGCTTTGCGTTGGTGCTGACTTTGCAAAGTTGCAGATGTCAATTTTTCTGCATTACATGGCCACAAAATATACGTAAGGGTTTCGAAATCACAATTCCCGCCATCTTTGGTTAAATATATATAGAAGCTAATTCTAATATATTATAAATTGATGTCAACTTAACTTCTTCGGTTTTTTAATATGTACGATTGCAAGAAGAAAATGATAACTGATCAAAAAGCTTGTATAATTTGAATTTTCAGCTGGAGAGTTATCGATGAAGGAGACAAAATCCGGATACCTATTGGTGTTCGTTTCCGCAAGGGATTGCGTATTGAGATTTCGGAGAACGAATAGATTGTCAGCAGGGCAGTTCTCCAGTGAATTTACCTTTCAGAAGCGTATTTGTGATGCAATAATATACTGTGTTTTGCAAAATTAATTAGTTTGCTTACTACTTTGGGCTGTATTACATTGTAATGTTGTAAGTGCCTAATAAACAACATTCTAGCTGGTTTCTTTCTTGAAACTATGGAGAGTGTTGTCCTTTCTCTTTTTTAGTTGCTTTCCACTTATGTAATTGTTGAAGATTTTATAATAGTTGCAGTTTGAGCTTGGACTAATTGTTTTTCTTCACTAAATCAATACAATGATTTTATTTATGAGGACAAATCAAGCCAAGAACAAAAAAATATGTAGTAAGTATTACTCTTTCCATCTTGTAAAGTTTGTCGCACTCCATGAATTGCAATTTGTATTAACAGAGAATAGAATTTGAAACTTGATGTGCCATTTCTCGTTTCATGAAAAGCTAAGTGCTGTACTAGCACGTAAAGAATTGTGGGGCATGATACTTGTTCAATCCCGTGTTTTATTCAAATCCTAGATATTGAAAGTTTTACCAATAGTTTTCAAAATTTTACCAAATCTTAGATTATTGTGGTTTTAGTTTCTGGGTAACTGTTACATACTACAAAAGTTGTTTTAGTTTCCTTGATAATAATCTGTAGGCCCATAAAATGGCACATGCATTGAACATTTACGGAGTGTCTAATGAGTAATGACTAAATGGAGAAATTAAATACAAATATGTTAGCCAATTTACAGAGGTGACAAATAATTTGGAACAGTCCAACAAAGAAAGTATGACAATATCAATGGCATGAAGGGAATTTCTCTATGGCCTGACCCTCTTTATCCTGAAATCCATGTTTTCAAACTTAGACCAGACCATTTGGTCAAACTGCAAATCGGCCAAGTGTTTGGTTCAAATCTTCCTCAAAAGCCAGTTGTCAAAAGCTCAATCAAACCCAATAAAAACTCAAGTTTGACCAAAAACCGGCTAGAACCGGTTTTTCCATTTTTCTATCTTGAAGGTTTTTTTTTCCTTTGACTCTTTGACCATGTAGAGAGTTTCATATATTTGCAACTTTCCAACAACTAAAAAATCCAAATAAAATGGTGAATGTCAACTAATTCACTTGGAGATTGTAGCATGATTTATGCCATAGATACGTATAATTTTCTTCTCAACTCTGCTGTCATTTATGCCTCTTCTTTGCTTGAATTTGAGATTAATTCATGGCTTAGGTGAATTGTTCTTTTTATTGAATCTGAAATGTTTCATTAAGAACCCAACTCAAGGGAAGAATTCCATTCTCTAAACTCTTTAAGTTCTCGAAAGATTTCATATTAAATAAGAAAAATAGAAAACAGAAAAGAGAAGAGAGAGGAGGGGAAAAAAAAGAATGAAGAAAAGAGAAAGCTTTCATGTTTATTTATTGTGTGTGATGAAAGAAAAAAAAATAGAGTTCTGATATAGAGAAAGAAGAAGAAAAATGAGAGAGAGAGTAGTTGTTGCACTCGAATAACGAAGAGGAGGCAATTGCATTCTGCGAGTCTTCATCCGTTGAAAACGCTGCAATATTTGCTCATTTTCAATTGTTGCAAAAATATCCTTCTCGATGTATACAACCAGACAGACATTCATCCACTCGTCTCCCATTTTGTTGCGCAAATCAGTCTTGACAATAAAGCCATATGTTCCCTTGCTAGCACATCCATACATTGCCCGATCAAGTTAAGGTGGTCATAAGAAAAATCATTTAGTATTAAATTACATGATAATGATATGCATCATCACCTGCATAATCAGTCAGTATGTACTAATCTTTTTTATTTTTATTCCTATTTTGTTGGGGGTGCTCAAAAAGGTTATGCAATAATAGTAAATACCTTATTTTGTCCATTTTATTCAATTTCATTGATACGCACGACGGATCTTTTGTGCTACTTTCTGTTTCACTTTTTATCATATTATTTTTTTCTCCTTCATAACATCACATTTTAATTCTTTTTTATTTCCTTAAAATCTAATAACTATTAATTAAATAATACAAAATTTAACACATTTCTATATGTAAATGGCTTAACCGGATGAAGATAATAGATGAAAATGTCTCTGGGTAAGATACCGTATTAAATCTAGGACCTTTTAATCAGTGAGATAAAGGCAGACATTAGACGAATGGGAAAGATGAGGCATCTAAGCTAGGCTAAATGATCAAATCGAATTGGGTAAAAAAAAAAATCAAGTGAACAAAATAAGAAATTTTTTCAAAACGTTCAGCGGGTATTAGTATAGTTTGCCCAATTTAGTAAGTCTCCTAACTGGGCCGTTGGCAAGGAGCCAAACGCCCAAGGGGCCCCTGTGTTATTTACGATGGTTTTCTTGGTCTCAGGACATATAAAAAAAAAATTCTTGAATCTTGAACCTATATATAGGGGGTTTTCCGGCGGCTTGGGGGGGGGCTTAAGCCCCCAGCCCCCCTTAAATCCGTGCCTGTGCACGGGCACTTGTCCCCTAGTATATATATATGACCAAGTAAATAGAGCTTTTTACTGATGTTTTTTTATTTTTGTACAAAATTATTCATGAGATTCTCAAACTCTCTCTGTACTTTAACGCAGTAGATAAAGCACTATATTGTATCTAATTTTTTCACTTAAAAATTATATATTTGTACTTTCTACCAACAATACAGTTAAGATAAATGCTTTAGCGCTTCACTACAAAGAACTATCTTAAAGTCTTTTTTTTTTAAAGGGGATAAAAATTTAAATCATTATCTAGCCATGCTTTTCTATGTGATGTGCTTGTAACTAATGATTTATATCGTAATAGCGATGCACACAAAATAAATCCTTTACTGTATTACAAAGAATTTTGTCAAAGTTTATTTTTCCTTCTTTAACAAAAAAGGGGAAATAAGCATTTAGTGTCTAGCTCTTGAGTAAATTACAAATGTAGTGAAACCAAAAACAAGCTATAAGTTACTAGATTAAAAAGAATGCTCATAAGAAGGAATGATCATCATGACTTGAATCTGGGCTTAAGTCCGATGTGTAGTCTGCGTTTTCTTTAAAATCTAAAGAACGAATGAAGATTGGATTTTTTTTTTCTCTCCTTTTTTTTTTTTGTTTCTTTTTGGGTGGCTGAAGCAAAAAGAGGAAACATGGGTATGAGAGGAATAAAACTGTGCATGTTGCTCTTCACGTTAAATAAGTAAAATAAAATAAAGGTTTAATGACAATTTATCCTCTTAAAGTATATCCTAATTTTCGCTTTAACAGCCTAACCTTTATTTTTTCCACTTAACATCCTAAGAGACAAAATAGCCTTCTATTATGGCCAGGTTTTTATTTTCAAATTTACTTCCTTTAATTATTGAACTTTAACTTGCAATTTGATTTTGACCACTCTAATTGATGGTGGTAAAGTTTTGCATAAGATAAGTATATGTATTAGGGAATACACTAACAATTGATTAATTTTACAAAATGGTTAAAAAAAAGATCCTAAGTAGCAAAAACTCATTATTCAAAAAACAACAAATAAAATCTCCAGTATTGACATGTGAATGTGCGATTGTAAAAATGAGTAGTTGACTGTAAATAGTATAATTATGAAGGAAAGTTGAATAAAATTTTTTATTAATTTCTTAAATTGGAAAATAGATGAATTTGAATTTGTAAGAAATATATACATAGTTTTTCAATTTTGTAAATTAGAGAAGGACATCCTAGTTTTATCAGTTTTGTAAATTAGAGAATGGACATCCTAATTTTTGTTATATAAATATATTACTTTCTTGGAAATAAAATTTGAAAAAGAAAACTAATTTGGAATAAAAAAAGAGAAAAGAGAAAAATTACATAGTAAAGGGGTATTTTTGTCTCTCAATGGTTAAGTCATACAAGGTTAGAGAATAAAGTGAAAATTAGTGTATATCTTACCGGGGATACATTAAGATTAACCCTAAAATCATTACTATACTAAAGGCGCGAGTTTGATTTGCTACAGTGATAATGGGCCGGTTATACTGTGATTTGTGTGAGTTTGAGGGGCAGTTTGTTCTTTTGTTGTGGGCGGTGGGTCTGTGCTATCGGCTGTCTGGATAGCGCTGGCTGCTGCTGTCTGCATGGCTTGGACCGGTTATCGTGGACCGGTTCGGTAATTTTGAGCAACTTCGGTGACTTTTTTCGTAGGCAGATAGACTGGTTGTAAATTTCGACAATTCCAATGGCATTTCATAGGAATTTGTTTGGGCTTGCCCTCTTGCTCCAGAGTTCAGACGCTATAATTCTTTCCCCTCCCTCCTCCAGTGGCATTTTTTAGGAAGCATATATGTGCCATGTATAAAGCTTGATGCCCTTTACGGTGTTGTATTGTTAGTTCTTTCTTCTTCTTTTTATTTTTTTTGCCTTTATTATAAAGGATAAAATGGATTTATTCTCTAACAAAATAATAAAACAACAATTTTACTATAATTTCGAATCTTCCCGTAAAATATTATAACCAGTGAACATAA